TCCCAGCTGGAGCTGTCCTCTGATGACGGCGGAGTGGCTGAGTGACGACGACGGACCGGTGCCATTGGCGATTGTAGGAGAAGCAGACGAGATAAGCTACAGGGAGGGAGGGAAAATGCGACGCATGACTCGCCGGCCGTGAGGGTTTTTATAGCAGGCCGGCAAGCATTGGGATTTTGGGGGATTTCACCGAGTCGGGCGGGAAGCTTGCGCGGGAATCTGCGAGGTTGTGTGGGAATGGGCTCACCGACGATTCATTGGCGCCACCGTTTGGCCAAAAGAACGCCTCCTCGCGCTGCGCAAGCTTGCGTTGTAAGCCGTTTGCGGCAGCGGGGTGACATGACGTGCGAGAGGAGGACGAGAGGACATGTACACATACAGTTAATAAAAACGTTTGCGATTTAATTACCTACTATACCCCCGTCCTGGTTTATACGTAGATTTAACTAATAAAATACGAATGCATGTCACCATAGATTATATCGTTGGAGTCGTATTTGAACATTGTTTCCAGCTATACAATTTTTGTAACATGCATTAACACTTTTTTGGTTAAATTTAAGGTTATACATCAGCAAGCGTTTCCCGCAACACACACGGCTTATTCCATCACAAACAGCTCTGGTGGATCAACTGTCTGCCACGTATCGCACACGCAACTCTAATCTGATTCTTGCTTGATGTCTCCGACATCGCTCACACATTTCGTCTTATTTGCCACATATCACTGTGCCGTCCTCCGCTCGCCTCCCTCGGCAAGCTCTGCTTGCCGTTAGGCGCCGCAACGCGTTGTGCTCGCCGTTAGGCGCCGCGGCGTGCTCTGTCGCGTCCGTTGGCGCGCTCTGCTCGCATCCGTTGGCACGCTCGGCTTGTGGACAACTTTTCCTTAAGGCGACCGCAGAGCGCTCTGCTCGCGTCCCTCCGCGCACGCTCTACCAGCGGTTGGGCGTGCGCACGATCACGTCGGGGGCCCCATATGCATGCGGTTGTGTTGCGCGTGTTGCCACGTGATGCAGTTACGTGCGACACGACGGAGTTACGCGCTGTAAATTAGAACTGCCATCAGGGCCTGCCCATATTCCTGGCCGTCCGGCTTCCCCTTTAATTCCCGCAATCATTATAACCTTAGTCTCTTCAACCTTTCGATCGTGTCCCACAACACAACAAGCACACCCACGACGACACATAGAGAGGGGATGTCCGGCGGCGCTCCAATGGAGTTCGGCGAGCATAGAGTGGAGACCCACGCGAGGGGGACGGATCTCTCGATGGTGTACACCATCCACCCAGTCGTGATGGACGACTACATCAACAACATTGAGCAGTTTCTTGCTGGAGACAACTACAAGGTGGTCAACATCGACCTCCAGTACACCGCCAGTCGTCCCGGCATAGATCAGAAGGTTGTCGTCGCCTAGTTGTGTGTGCGCCATCATGTCCTCATCTACCACTACTGCATGGCCACAGAGCCTTGCGACCGTTTCAACAGGTTTGTCAACAGCACCGACTACAAGTTCGTCATGGTGGATACCAAAGACGATGTAAAAGCGCTCAGTGTTACGGGCTTGGCCTGCAAGAACCTTGTTGAAATTCGTGACCACTATAGGGTCTGGGGCAGCACGAAGCAGGACTCACTGGTTGAACTCACCTCGGACATCATCGACCCCTACTACAAAAAGATGAAGCAGGACGCCTAGAGAATAAGTCCCGTATCCTAGCACAAGGCCTGGATGCGGCAATTGGATGAACCTCACCTCAGGTTCGCGGCCAAGAGCGTGTACACATGCTACGAGATGCACAAGCGGATCGTTGACATGAGGAAGTGCCTCGTTACCCAAATTGACGAGTCCGGATCGAGCCACAAGCAGAGCAAGCGTCACAAGAAGTAGATGATGATCAGATGATCGTTTATGCTAGTTAATCATGCATGTAATATATAGTTTACTTTATTGATGTGTGTGGAAATTTCATGTGTGTAGTAGCCACCTATGTAATTATGCATGTAATAGTTTACTTTGGTATGTGCAAATGCCATGGTTGTAGTAGCCACCTATGTAAGTGGATGTTTAATTTGGTTATGCAAGCATGTCCTTATAAGTGTGTGTGTGTGTGTGTGTGTTGTTGTTGTTGTTCTGTATGCAATCCCATCGCATAATACACACGTCTTATTAGCAGCAACCGTCTGTGTTATTATCGGTTTTCACACACATTTCTGATTACAGACCTGCTTGCCGTGTATCACACACATCTTGTTAAGCTGAACCGTTTCTGTTCTCATGTCTCAACGCAAACAGTTCATCCGAGTGAACCGCATGTCGTATATCGCACACACCTTCATGTGGCTGCCCGTTTCTTTTGTGTTGCCTAATCACAAACAATTTTCCCACGTGAACCATATGTTGTGTATCGCACACGCTTTCATCTGGCTGCCCGTTTCTTTTGTTTCTCCTCATCGCAAACAGTTAAATGAACTGAACCGTATGCCCTTCATCGCACACGCAACTAAAACCTGAACCGTGTTTTTTGCATCCGTCATCGCAAACGTTTAACACATTTCTGACAGTTTTCATACAACACCGCTTGTGATTATTGCATCGCACACAGTTTCTCCAAGGGTCTTTGATCGTAGTGTCGCGTTAGCAGCATCCTGCAGTAGTGTTAGGGTTTAGCCATTACGATCTCGAGGTAGATCAACTCTTGCAACCCCTATACTCATTGAATACAATCAAGCAGGACGTAGGGTTTTACCTCCATTAAGAGGGACCGAACCTGGGTAAACATCGTGTTCCCACTGTCCCCTATTACCATTGATCCTTAGACTCACTTCTTAGGCCCCCCTATCCAAGATCTGCCGGTTTTGACACCGACAGGGGCCATGTTGCTTACTAGAGACGACGAGGACGAAGGGGGGGTTGCATAGTCGAGGGGGACCAGACGGTGTCCACGAGGAAGGAGTGAAGCAGCTCCTGCTGCCAGAGACTACGCCGCATCTGATGACCCACAAGTATAGGGGATTTATCGTAGTCCTTTCGATAAGTAAGAGTGTCGAACCCAACGAGGAGCAGAAGGAAATGACAAGTGGTTTTCAGTAAGGTATTTTCTGTAGGCACTGAAATTATCGGTAATAGATAGTTTGATAGTAAGAAAAATTGTAACGAGCAAGTAATAGTAACGGTAACAAAGGTACAGGAAAGTAGCCCAATCCTTTTGTAGCAAAGGACAGGCCGGGACAGTCTATTATAATAAGCAAAGTGTTCTTGAGGACACATGGGAATTTCATCTAGTCACTTTCATCATGTTTGTTTGATTCACGTTCGCTGCTTTGATAATTTGATATGTGTATGGACTGCTGCTTGGGTGTTGTTCTTAGAACAAACCTCACACTTATGATTAACCCCTCTCACAAGCATCGGCAACTACGAAAGAATAATTAAGATAAAATCTAACCATAGCATTAAACATGTGGATCCAAATCAGCTCCTTATGAAATAGCGCATAAAGTAGGGTTTAAACTTTTGTCACTCTAGCAACCCATCATCTAATAACTACTCATGCATTCACTTAGGCCTAAAGATGATGAAGTGTCATGTAGTCTACGTTCAAATAACACCACAAAGGCAATCACAACATACATATCATCAAAATATCGAGCAAACATCAAATTCACATGAATACTTATGAAAGGACTTCTCTCATGTCCTCAAAAACAAAAGTAACTATTCACAAAATATATTCATGCTCAAGATCAAAGAGGTATTGAATAGCATAATAGATCTGAACATATGATCTTCCATCAAATAAACCAACTAGCATCAACTATAAGATGTAATCAACACTACTAACAACCCACATGTACCAATATGAGATTTTGATACAAAGATTGAATACAAGAGATGAACTAGGGTTTGAAATGAGATGGTGATGTTGAAGATGTTGATAAAGATTAGCCCTTCCACGGTGAGAGGATTGTTGGTGATGACGATGAGTTCGATTTTCCCCCCTCCAGGGAGGAAGTATCCTTGGCGGAATCTCTCCGCCAGAGAGCAAAAGTGCTCCTGCACAAGTTCCGCCTCGAGACAGCGGTGCTCTGTCCTGAAAGTCCTCTTTTTTTTCTAGAACAAATGTGTTTATATATCAGAAGAGGAGCACCAGACCCTGGCCAGGGCTCCACTACCCCCAGGGCGTGCCAGGGGGGTAGGCGCGCCCTGGTGCCTAGTGGGCATCTGGGTGACCCCCTCTGGTACTTATTTTCTACAATAATTTTTATATATTCCAAAATAAATCTATGTAAAATTTCAGCTTATTTGAAGATGTGCAGAATAGGTATCTCCGACATAGGCTTTTCAGGTCCAAAATTCCAGCTATCGGCAATCTCCCTCTTTATGTAAACCTTGCATATTATGAGAGAAAAGACATTAGAATTGCTCCACAAAGTGTTACATTGATTGAAAATACTATAAATGACAGTAGAAAAACATGATGCAAAATGGACGTATCAGCGTCCGTCGCCGTCACCGGTGGTATGAACAGAGGAGCAGCTTGTCATAGAGCTTGGTGTCATCCCGCCGTGCCCGATTTCCATCTCCCGCCATCTCCCTTCGACTTCGCCTCGCCTCCTTGCGTGCGAGCTGCAACACCTTGCGCCGCACTTATCCTGGCTTGCTGGAAACTACCGATTTGAGGGTTTCCAGCGAGTAGTCTCTAGATTTCTTTTAAGATTCGTGCCGATGCGAGCCAGCCCACCTCGTATGTAATCAAACATGTTTTTATTGACCCAACTGGACTTGGTTGAGATGTACACGGGCTACCAAACACGTCCTACCGAATCTGGGTCACCCGCTCGCCGCACCCGGCGTCTTCCCCACTATAAGCTCCGGCCATACTGTCACGGGTCATTAGCATAAAACCTGGATCTCGGAGTGGTAGTTAGCTGAGGTAGGCTATCACCCGTCCCTCCCAGCCACTGTTGTTAGTCTCAAGATCGCAGAAGGAGGGTGAGCATGGCAGGGCAGAGCAGCTACAGCCGGCTCGCCGGCGACGAGGCCGCCGTGATATCCGCCGCCGGCGGCGACGACGACTACGACGCAAAGAAGCTGAGGCTGCTTGGCTACGAGCCGCAGCTCAAGCGCAATCTCTCGTACGTACTCTACTGATTCAGAAAATCGAACCTGTCGTTCTTGTTTGCTCTGTTTAGCTGGCACATCGATTCTGTCGATCTATGAAGTTTAGTTTACTTCAATCCAGCTTATTTTGATGCGGTCACGTGTTAGCTAGCCACTGCAAGTTGCGTGTTTCGTTCTGTCAAGTGTCAACGACGGATGGGTTGCTTGCGGACGCTGTACACTTGCTTTGACTCATTAAGGTTTTAATACCATAGTAGGATTCATTTTTCTAGCTCAAAGAAAAAGGATTTATTTTTCTCTAGGCATTTTCATAATTTTTTTATTTTGAGCATAATGCACTAGGTTTTATTGATCGATGGGCACTGGAATACAATTTGGATCATAGGGTTGGCTGAGCCAATGGCATTTTCATGGCCAATCCAATTTGGCGCGTAGGATAAGTATACACCGAGGGGCGGTTCCCGACCTCCGTTCCAATTTTGGGAAGGTTCTAAAGCCTTCCCAGACCGTTTTTCCTCTTTTTTGTGTTTTTTCTTTTGGATTTTTTCAGCTTTTTTCACTTTCGTTATTTTCTTTCTTTCATGTTTGTTTTCTCATTTAATTTTTCCTTCATATATTTTGCGAACAACTTGTCAAATTCGTGAGTATTTTTTGAATTCACATTTTTTAATGAAATCCAAAATGTTTTTAATTTTTTTGAATATTTTTAAAAATTCATGAACTCTTTTCGAATTCACAAAATATTTTCAATTTTATGAATCATAAAATATTTTTTAATTGGCGAACGTTTTTGAAAATTTGGGAACAATTTTTAAAATTTTATTTGTTCGACAAATGATTTTTTTAAAATGCATGCACATTTTTTGAATTCCTGATCTTTTTTATCGATGATTTTTTTCCTATAATTCACGAACATTTTTTTAATAGTGTATGAAGCCATAAATATTTTTTAAAAATCTTGAACCATTTTTCAAAATCATGAATATCTATTTTTGGATCCACTAATATTTTATGGAATCTTAAACGTTTTTTTTAAATTCACAATGTTTTGAATTCTGAAACATTTTCAAATCCTAAATTATTTTAAAGAAGGAAAAACAAGAAAAAATGAAATGGAAAAATAGGGTCGTCCCGCCTCATGTATGGACCGGCCCAAACGGGCGCCCTGTGGGGAAGAGGAGAGGAGTGCGTGTTGGCTTGTTTGCTAGCATGTAGCATGCTAAATAGGAGGTCCCCATTTTCATATGCAAGCCCCAAAACTAAGCTGAAATATCCGCATAACAAATTCGACCCAAATCAGTTTATACAGATGTAGCTTTCCATAAAAAAATAATTTAGATGCAGCTTCATTATTTAGCTTTGAACCGATGTGGCTTCATTTTAACTGTTGTGTTTCCCATAGAAGCCACCTGCAAGGCTCCACATGCTTCATTTGTTTTTGTGTTTTCTTTGATGCAAAAGAAATAAATTTCACAGTACGAAAGCAATTTTCAATGATGTGTTGTGTTGTTGGGTGACCATGTTACACATGCAGGTTGTTCTCCAACTTCTCGGTTACCTTCTCGATCATATCAGTCCTTACGGGCACCACTACGTTGTACGGGACAGGTCTCGAGTTTGGTGGACCGGTGGCCATGGTGTATGGTTGGCCGATTGCCGACACCTTCACCATCATCGTCGGCCTAGCGATGGCCGAGATTTGTTCTGCCTACCCTACCTCCGGAGGACTCTACTTCTGGAGTGCCAGGCTCTGCAGCGAGCGATGTTGGGGCCCCTTCGCCTCCTGGCTCACCGGCTGGTAAGTTTACTTGTTTGCTTTTTGTAACGTGTTTTATTCTAGACACAAATTATTGTCGACACGTGGTGTCAAATTTATCTAGCCTCCACTTTTTCTTTATTTAAGTTTATATGGTTGCGGTGATCTCTTCATGTCTTTTTTATGCGAACGCGCAAAAGCTTTGCACGTCGATGTATTAGAAGAATAGAACTAAAAGTATAGAGTCTGGCGGCTCATCGCGGTTACAAACCATCCTCACGGCAGCATATGGTGGGCAGCCAATAACACCGGGGACACTCAACAACACCCTATGTGTTAGAAGGTCCTATCTTCAGATGTCCGACAACCCCCTCGCACCAGAAAGCTTCCATAGCTCAACCTCATTACTGATGTGATGACAAAGGTATCGAACAATGACTGATGACCGCTGAAAGACGCGACCATTATGCTCCTTCCATAGCATCCAGACGATGAGGAGGGCAAGCGAATCGAAACGCTTCCTCCGCTCCTTCGGGATCATTGCACGTCTAGCTACCCACCACTCCGTGATAGTTGCATCCATGGTGGACACCAACTGACCGAGGCCGCAACACGAGAGGGCATAGTGCCACACCTCCCTGGCAAACACACAACCCAGTGCCAGATGGTCTGCAGTCTCGGCCTCCTGCTCGCATAACGGGGCACATGACGTGGGACTGCAGGCCGTGCCAAAAGCGTTTGTCTGCCGTCCAAATCCGAAGCCTCATCGCTAGCCAGAAGTGAAGCTTGCACTTGGCCGGAGCCCAAGACTTCCAATGGGCCCACCTCTCAAGGCTAGCAAAGAACACCTGAGTCGAGCTCGCAAAATATACCTTAGTTGGCGTCCACTTTCAGATTATGCGATCCGGAATCTCAGGGAGTAGGCGCACTTCGAGAAGCAAGTCCATGAGCATCAGGAATTGCGTTAGCACTCTAACCATCAACACCCGGTGATGTCCCTCATCCAAGTGCGGTCCTCCAAGGCCTCATGAACCGTTCGCGAGCGCCGCGCACCGTCGTTCACCGCTAGGAATAGCTTCGGGGCCTCGAACTGAATGGAACGCTCATGGAGCCAAAAGTCCGTCCAGAAAAGAGCCTTCTTACCATCCCCTAGCATCACCTTGATGGACGAGTCAAAAATAGCCCGCACCTCAGGCTCGATGGCCGGCTGTAGACCCGCCAAGCAGCAATCGGATGTGCGCTGCATCCATGGCCAGCGCACCCGGAATGTATAGCCCAATAGCTTGAGGTTCGAGACTCCCAATCTGCCATACTCGAATGGCTTGCACGCTTGCTCCCAAGCTACCGGACAATGGCCACCGTTGACGGCGTCAGTCCCCTTCCAAAAGAAGACACAAATCCTCTTCTCAAACCCATCGATCAGCCACACGGGCAGCTGAATCGCGGTGGAGTGATACACGGGGATGGATGTGAGGACCGACTTGACCAGCTCGAGGCGACCAGCCGCAGTGATCCAACGAGCAATCCATGGCTACAGCCAGTGGCGAATCTTGAATAAGAATGAAGGGCAGGCTGAACTTGAGTACAAGGGGTTGGAACGGGGAAACAACAGGCTAGACACTTAGACAGTGGGTTGAGATGGGCTGGGAACTAGTAGTGAATTTTTGTTTTTCAATTTTGGAGGGCAGGCTTGAGCCTGTTGAAGCATGCCCAGTAGAATTGCCACTGGCTATAGCCGATTGCAAACCTTGTCCAATATTGGTTGCAGGCACGCCTTAGGCGACCTCAGCTTGTATGAAAAAGGAAGAAAGATAGATGTAGGGGAACCTCAGTATCGGGCATGGAAAGTGTTGGGCAGCAACTACGAGGTGCTCCTCTGAGCATCTAATCGGCGACAACGAGCATTTACGTAGATTGGTGTGCAGCCCTATGCGCCATCAAAACAGTCGAGCGCGATCCACACGAGCAACAGGTCCGATGAGGATGGCTTGAGGCTGGTCACAACGGGGAGGAATTTAGGAGTAACATCACACACTTCAATACAACTTTACTTATGTGGCACATATTTAATGAAGAGAGAGGTGCTTGTGGTAACTAGCTAAGTTACCGGAACATCACACACTCCAAGAAACAATGAGTCTATAACCTAATAAATACATCGTTGCATGACACTATATAGATGTTCCTACCCACTATGAAGGTAGTAACATAGTCTAGGAAAGTTGTAAGTTACTAGCTTATGTTCTTGCCCATTGTGACCAGCCTGATGAAGACGACTACATCGTCAACGTACATCGAGGTATGAAAGCTGGCACCTCAGCACTGCAAACGGTGACAAGACGCCCATGCCCTCAGCCCTGATCTCTTCATGTCTCTCTTGCATGTGGCGCAAATGGCAAAATGGCGTATGCATACATTACATATACATATACGCTTGTGCTCCTTGTCGCCTCGAATCCACCAGCCTCTGATGATTGGTTCAGTCGGCGAAACTTGTCTCTTCTCGTCTCTTGTACTGTACCGAAGTGCAGCATATATGTCTCGTTTGCTGTCGTAGCACGTACGAATAGGGATAAGATAATCATTATCACGTGCTCGATCGGCAATTGTAAGCCGATATTTGGATTCACAAAACATACGTGCTCGATGGAAGTATTTTTCTTTCCTTTCTCTGGGAGGGGAGGCGGCGTAAGCCTGGATGCCGTGCAAAATTAGTCATCAGGCGCGTGTCAAGCGTGCAAATCTCGATCACATGGCAGCGAATCTCGATCGGTTGAATGGGTGCACAGTGATCTTGACCCAAACTGGATTGCTGGAAAGAGACGTGCAAATCGCTTTGATTCATTTCTTTACAACGAGCTTGATCGATGGGGGCCTGTTGAACTCAACAGGAACCAAGAGCCCATGCTGCACGTGCGCCACCCACATGACAAAAAGCTCATATTGCAGTCTTCACGTAGAAGAACATGAACCCACTCGTATTTCAGACTAGCTCGGACATTTCGCACCCCTTCATCAAAAGGATAGGAGTAGCGACAGATGTATTGTTAAGATGGTAGCTTCAGGCATACTGACGTACTCCCTTCGTTACTAAATATTTGTCTTTCTAGATATTTCAACAAGTGACTACATACAGAGCAAAATGAATGATTACACTCTAAAATATGTTTATATACATTCATATGTGATAGTTCATTTGAAATCTCTAAAAAGACAAATATCTAAAAACAAAAAAAATATTATTTTGTAAGGTCCTTATAAATAATTAATAATATGGCTGCATGCATCATTCAGATAGAGCGATGCTATACACACGACGAAATTGCAGCCGACATGCGCACGATCCCATGTGGCAGCATCAGTAGCGCTCGTACATGCAGGAGGTAGTTGGTTTTCGTGTTAGGTGATGCATGCACACTGTGTATCGTCCGCAGATCGTCCAATCATGTCGTGTGTGAAGCCATTTCGATTCAGATATGCAAAGGCTGGGGTATATCCTTCTTTTCAAAATAATAATAATCAGAGGGGTCTTAAATATAGGATCGCATTCTTTTTGGGAAAGAATCCTGGTTCCCACAGTAGATCCACGACCATCCTTGCTGGCAGAATCTCCATCCAGAGTAGAGTAACGAACCCCACATCTGGCGCCCACCGCACTTTTAGTTGACTCACTGCACCCCGCGATTCTCTCCTCTCCTCTGCACTCTGCAGGCAGTACATATATCACCACTGGTAGGTCTCCCCTGACCCCATCTCCTCCTCCTCCCACAACGCGACGGCGTCATGACCTGGAGCAAGTCCCCGGCGGGGAGCGGCACCACCGCCGTCGACGTCGACGTCGATGCCTCCGGCGACACCGGCCAGGCCCGCCTCCGAGAGCTCGGCTACAAGCAGGAGCTCAAGCGGGACCTCTCGTACGTCATGCCCGCCCTTCTCCTCTCCTCTCCCCTCCCTTGGTTTCGTCGCTTCTCTTAACTGATTGATTGAGGGCGTGTGTAGATTGCTGTCCAACTTCGCCTTCTCCTTCACCATCATCTCGGTGCTGACGGGGGTGACCACGCTGTACAACACCGGCCTCAACTTCGGCGGCCCGGCCACCATGACCTTCGGCTGGTTCGTCGCCGGCGCCTTCACCATGACCGTCGGCCTCTCCATGGCCGAGATCTGCTCCTCCTTCCCCACCTCCGGCGGCCTCTACTACTGGAGCGCGCGCCTCTCGGGCAACCGATGGTCGCCCTTCGCCTCCTGGATCACCGGATGGTAGGCCACTCAATCACACGCACTCCACTGAAATCTTTCTTGTCTTTTGCTACCTGTCCACGTTCTCGAATGTATCGATTTCTTCTCTGGTTGGGATGGGATCATGTGGAAGGGAAGAAAGGAAGGAGAGGATCATGTCATGTGTGAACGAACCGCTTTCTGTGTTTTTTTGTCTGGTGTGACATCAAATTGGTGCGTGCGTGCGAAATTTCTGCATCTTTCTGTCTTTTTTTCCGCTCGTCTTTCTCTTTTTGCAGAATGAGTAGTTTATTACTCATTTACCCCCTTTGATCCATATTAATCATCCTTGATTTAGTAGTACAAATAGTTCATTCAAATAGTACACCGTTATCATCGGGGATGCAAAATAGAATAATCGTTTCTTTTCCAATCAAATGTACTCTGCACTTGTCGTTGTTTAACGACGTGCTCCTGGCAATGCAGAACAGAATATTTGTGTTCATAAGGTCATGTGCTTGCGTGCTTTGACCATGTGCAGCCCCCGTGGCCACATTTTGGTACTAGCAGAACCAGTGCCAACTGCACATAAAGTCTGATTTTGACAGCGACCTGGGGTTGAAAATATGCAGCTGTCAGCATGCTTCTTGTAGTTGAGACAAAGACGTCCTTGCAATAAACGCACATATACGCATGGCCCATCTTTCTTACTGTAGATAGATGCGCTATTGATTGCTCGTGCACTGCATCCCATTCCAATTGTTCCCAGCCTCTAATGGCGTTTGTTGTGCTGCATGCAGGTTTAACATCGTTGGACAGGTACAACTTTGGCTTAAATCTGAATGTGCTTTCTCACTTTGTGAGTGACTGCTGTGCTGATTCAGTTTGCACGCTCTGCAGTGGGCGGTGACAACTAGCGTGGACTTCTCGCTGGCGCAGCTGATCCAGGTGATCATCCTGCTCAGCACCGGCGGCAACAACGGCGGAGGCTACCTGGCGTCCAAGTACGTGGTCATCGCCTTCCACGCCGCCATCCTGCTCAGCCACGCCCTCATCAACAGCCTCCCCATCTCATGGCTCTCCTTCTTCGGCCAGTTTGCGGCTGCTTGGAACATGCTAGGTTCTGTCCTTCATTCGCACTTGCCCTACACGATTACTCTACTTGGCGAGCACTGATTCTCGCTCAAGCTAGCTAGCTAGAGAATAAATAATCAGAGAGCAGTTGGCATCCACTTTATTAACGGATGGCTAACAAGTAACAAGGTCTCCACGCTTCTCTGTCTCTGTAGGTGTCTTTGTCTTGATGATTGCCGTGCCGGCTGTTGCAACCGAGAGAGCCAGTGCCAAGTTCGTCTTCACCCATTTCAACACTGACAACAGTGCTGGAATACACAGCAACCTCTACATCTTTGTCCTGGGGCTCCTCATGAGCCAGTACACGCTCACAGGATACGACGCATCGGCGCACATGGTAATTAATTGATTAAGCCAAAGAAAAAGGAATCTCATCTCGTTACTTATGACACGCAAAAGAAACCCTGACGCTTTTGATCATGCATGCATGCAGACGGAGGAGACCAAGAACGCAGACAGGAACGGCCCCATCGGGATAATCAGCGCCATCGGCATATCCATAGTGGTCGGCTGGGGATACATACTCGGCATCACGTTCGCCGTCAAGGACATACCCTACCTGCTCAGCCCTGACAATGAAGCTGGGGGGTACGCCATCGCCGAAGTCTTCTACCTCGCCTTCAAAAGCCGCTACGGCAGCGGCGTCGGCGGGATCGTCTGCCTGGGGGTCGTCGCCGTCGCCATATACTTCTGCGGCATGAGCTCCGTGACGAGTAACTCGAGGTGATCGTCTTCTGCTGGCTTGCTTCACGCTGCATTTCTCTTCTCGGAACGTAGTTCTGATGAGATCACTCGCTCCTTGTATTGACTGACTAGGATGGTGTATGCTTTCTCGAGAGACGGGGCGATGCCGCTGTCACCCGTGTGGCACAAAGTGAACAAGCACGAGGTGCCCATCAACGCCGTCTGGCTCTCGGCTTTCGTCTCCCTCTGCATGGCGCTGCCGGTAAACCATTGTCCACACCACTACATTTCACTGCAACTACATATATAGTAGTATTTCAATTCCGGCAGAGCACCTCCGATTAATCCTGGTCTCTGATTGAAAACTGATTGCAGTCGCTGGGTAGCCTGGTGGCGTTCCAGGCCATGGTGTCGATCGCGACGATCGGGCTCTACATCGCGTACGCGCTGCCCATCTTCTTCCGGGTGACGCTGGCGCGCAAGCACTTCGTGCCGGGACCCTTCAACCTCGGACGGTACGGTGTACTGGTGGGGTGGGTGGCCGTGCTCTGGGTGGTGACCATCACCGTGCTCTTCTCGCTGCCGGTGACGTACCCGGTGACCAAGGACACGCTCAACTACACGCCGGTCGCCGTCGGTGGGCTTTTCATCCTCGTCTTGACGTCGTGGGTCGTGAGCGCCAGGC